AATGCCTGACAAGTGCTGGTCTCTTTGCTAGGTATTTTAGAGACCCAGAAGAATGAGCCATACAATTTCCCCTCAAGGAGCAGAGGTATAAGCTGAGGACTCCGTACTAATGAGCACAATTCTAAAAACAAAATACAGCCATCTCTAAGCACAGTAGAGTCTCCTTCCCTTTTTCTTTGCCTTCTCATTCAGTTCTTTCTTTGTATCTTTTGTAGCATTTTCAAAAAGATGGATATGGGAATAGAGAGGAAACTACAATTCAGAAGTAGTTCTGGAAGATTAAAAAATCAAATTAAAATGTGCATTATCTTTTGAGAATCTTTCATACAAGATAAAGAAATATGGGAAGGAGAACAGAACAATTTGATACTTTCATAATTGACTAAATATATGTTGAACAGGTAATGTCAGTGTGGCTGCTTACTTCTAGGTGCCATGGGTCACCTCTATTACGTGTGTCCTGTTCAGATTCTTGAGCGTGCAAGTGAAGAGGAAGGAACAGTAAGGATAAAAACATGTCATGGGCTTCAGAGGAGAGGAGAGATGAAATCTATTTGTTAAAGAACAAAGGCATTGTGAATTAGAAGGACATTGTGATGGTCTTTCTGGGATAAGTAGTGTTTGATAAGTATGGAGAAGTGGGAAATCATTCTGGTTGAAAAAATAATAAGCAAATGATCACAACTGAAAAAGGTGCGAGTTATATTTGGGGAATTATAAGTGGACCAAGTTGACTGGAACAAAGATCTAAACAGGGCAATCTGATGCCAATATACACCCGTCAGTTGATAAATGTTGATCTGACTATTAGAAGATAAAAGCAGTAAGATAGAGAGGTACATACTGAGAGTACCTTCAGTGTTAGTTAGGAGTATTTTAAGTTGAAAATAATTTTTGCTAAAATAAAAAGGAAGGGTTCCTATAAGGATTCAGGGAAGTCTCATACATTCCAAGTGTGGTACACAGTGAGGCCTCTGGAGTGGGTCACAGCTATAGATTTGGAAAGTATTCAGGCTCCCCTTCTTGCTATCACCTCTCCTCTTTTTTGTGCCTTGGCACTCTCTCCCTTATGCTCTTTCTATAGCAATCCTTTCTATGCTTCCCAGTCCATGTGGTGGAATATGACTGATGTTACAGCTCCTACAACTCCAAATTCCTTTCTAGTAATTGTGGGCTAATTAATTTGGACCAACCTCCTTGAGGAAAAATGATAAAAATTTTCGATAAGATTTTACCAAATCTCCTTAAAACCATCAAAGTACTGATATGGTAACAAGCAACTACTAGGTCAGAATCTAAGGGAAAGATGAAATCCAAGATGTAAGGGAAGTTGATCTTTGTAGCTCTGAAGACATTTGCTAATTGCTGCACAATTGGGCTATAGTTTTGGCAGCCTCTTTGGGTGGGAGAAACAAGAGGGACAGATGTCAGGACCCAGCACCCATCAGACACTCTCCCAAATGTTAAGTTGGGACTCCAAACAGCTAGTCCCATAAGGTAAGGATGAACAAGAAGTGAACCTACCTCTATCCTCCCACTTCCAATAATTGTTGTGGAGCTCAGTAGAAATCAGCTGAGCTTAACAAGGAAAAATAGAAAGGATGAGCTTTCAACTTTTCCTGAGAAGCTGTGACCACAGGTCTGCATTCTCTCTAATTTGCAGCTTAGGTTCACATCATCTTGGAGGCCGAGGGAATGTCTGGCCATGAACTTTTTTGGGGTCCTTCTGGGTTGATATACTCCAGGTGTCTATGAGAAACAACAGCAATATTTTTGTTTGTCAGGAAGACACCTTCATTTTGGCCTCAAAATTTACTTCATATAATTTTGGAAAGACATTGAGCAGTACACATTCAAAGATGACCAATTACACAAGGAAACAAAGTGAGCAAGAATCAACAAAACAACAGATAGAATAATATTCGGGTTATCAGTTATAGATATTAAAACAACTATAAATACCATGCTTAAAGAAATAAAAGACAAGCAGGAAAATATCTGCAAGGAACAGGAAATTACAAAATTTAGCCTAATTGTTGGTGGGATTGTAAACTTGTACAGCCACTACGGAAAACAGTATGGAGGATCCTCAAAAAATTAAAAATAGCCCTACCATATGATCCAGCAATTTCACTTCTGGGAATACATCTAAAGGAAACAAAAACACTAACTTAGAAAGATATCTGCTTCCCCACATTCATAGCAGCCTTATTTACAACAGCCGAGACAGGGAAGCAACCTAAATGTCCACTGATGGATGAATGGATAAAGAAGTTGAGGTGTATATATACAATGGAATATTACTCAGCCATAGAAAACAAGGAAATCCTGCCATCTGGAACAACATGGATGGAACTTGAGGGCATTATGTTAAGTGAAGTAAGTCAGACAGAGAAAGACAAATATAAATACCATATGATCTCATGTATATATGGAATCTTAAAAAAAGAAAACAAAACCAACCCATAGAAAAAGCGATCAGATTTGTGGTTACCAGAGGCAGGGGGTTGTGGGAGGAGAAATAAGAGAATGGTGGTCAAAAGGTGCAAACTTCCAGTTACAAAATAAATAAAAATTTAAGCACGAGTAATGTACAGCATGATGACTACAGTTAACATTGCTGCATGATATATATGAAAATTGTTAAGAGAGTAAATCCTGAGTTCTCATCACAAAGCAAAACATTTTCCTTTTTTGCTTTCTCTTTTTATTCTATCTATATGAATGATGGATGCTAACTAAACTTGTAGTGGTAATCATTCCACAATATATGTAAGTCAAACTATCATGCTGTATACCTTAAACTTACACAGTGATGTTAATTATATCTCAATAAAACTGGGAACCAATTTGGCCTAGTAGTTTTGAAAAAGAATCATATAGAACGTCTGAAATTAAAAAAGACTATTTATAATTACAATTGACTCAGTGAGTAGATTTAGCAGCTGATTAAACAAAACTGTAGAGAGAATTAGTAGATTATGGGTAAGAACATGTTACCCAGAATGCAACATGGAGAGAAAAAGAAAACATGGAAGAAATGGAGACAGGGTGTGAAGGCCTAACATATGTTTAATTCCAGTTTCGTCAATGGAGAAAGAAAAATAGAGCAAAAACAACATTTGAAAAGACAGTGGCTGAGAATTTTCCAGAATTGAAGAAAAACAACGCTCTACAGATTTCACAAATCCCATACCCAAGAGCCTGACACCTTCACCATTGGAAAAACAGGGATTTCCCTGTGGGATCATTTACTCCTGTTTTACACTTCTAAGCTAAAATCATCCTGGATGTATCTGATTGGTGGAACCCAGGTCACATGCCCACTCCCAGCTGCCAGCTGGGAAAGCAAATTTTCTAGGACAGACTTACTTATAACATGGGAAATTACCAAATGTAAGGAGAATGTTTAAAAACTGTTGGACACCCACTCATGACAAATGCCTGCCACAGGGCTATTCAGAAAGCTCATGCGCCAGCATCTGCTGTTTTCTCTTTGTATGCTCTTCCTTCAAGAGCACATAACTCTTAGAGACTAACTCAATGGGTGATTTATGCAATTTGATCTAACCCTGACCTATCAATCTATGGAACTCTAGACACAAGGGTATTCTGGCTATTGTATAATTTCCCTAATCTCCTGCATCCTCACCTCAAATTCAGCCTACCCAACCCTAGCACTTCTTCACCTCTCTGCCCTCTCCAAAGATCCATCTCTCCTTGAGACTTTTTTTTTCTGCAACTATTTTCTTGCTTCTTCAAGGTATGCTATTTGAGAGTCCTCCCTGACTCCTTATTGTCTTATTTCCTCTTTATTCATATCTGACCTCAGCAGAAACTGCCTTCCCTATATCTCTCTCATTCATTCCTTCCTTTCCAGTCCCATGACTGAGTATCAGCACCATGACCAATCTCTGATATTCCCTTGACCCTGGTTTCTCTTCCCTTCAATTCATTCTGCACATCCATGCCTGGTGAGTTTCCATTTTTAATTTTTAAAAGGGCACAATTTCACTCCAGAAATCTCTCAGTCTCCTACTAATCTGTCTTCTTATCTTCCCTCACTTCCAGGAGGGTGTACATCTGCCCCAGCACCTTGAATGCCTCAGTCTTTCTCTCAGACTAGGCTCCTAAATTTTCGTCTACCAGAGGTCACCCCGCCCCCAAACTTGTGTAAATCTTAACCTCCCCTCGAGGGCAGCTCAAGTCCCATCCCCTCCTGAAGGCCTGCCTCTGTGATGGCTCTCTGTAAATTCGTCAACCTTGGCAGCGTCCGCCGCTCCCTCAACTTGGCACAGCTACTTTTCATTGTTCTCTTTCGTGAAAACTAAAGTTCTTTTATTTCACAAGACGGTAACAGTGACTTGGAGGTAAAGACTGTATCTGGATGCCTTGTTCCTAGTGCAGAGCCTGGCTCAGAATTGGAGTTCAGTGTTTGTTGAATGCAGGGATGAATTAAATAGCGAGTTCATGAATGCCTGCTCTGGTGCTGAGACTCGAGCTGTGACAAAGGTCCCCACATCTAAGGAACTTGAGGCAGGCGGCTGCAAGTTGGTGGATGTCCTCAGTCAAGGAGAAAACTAAGAGCGAATGTCCCAGTTTCAGCTAAGAGATCTGTGGCAGGCAACTTCCTCTACGCTAGGTTTTCCTTCTGATTTTCACAATCTGTGGGGAACGGAGGAGCTTTCACTTTGTTGGACTGTTTTGTGTTGGGCAGATTTCGCCACTCTTAAAATAGTAGTGGTCCCTGTCACTGACCCCATATCGCGCTTTCCCCAGCAGGAGCCTGCAGATGAGTTCCAATAGTTGGGAAACAGATTGAAACGACGTCCGGGTTTTGTTTGCCGCTTACACTTAGATACACTGAAGGCCCTTCCTTTTCTGAGAAAGAATGAAAGAGCTCGTTCGCAAGGCCCTATAGCTCAGGGGTTAGAGCACTGGTCTTGTAAACCAGGGGTCGCGAGTTCAAATCTCGCTGGGGCCTGTAAGATATTCCTTACCGTTTTGTGTTCTTTTCACCCCTCGCCCCTCTGCCGACGGTAACTTTAACCCCTGCGGAAATTCGGCGATTTGTATTCTCTTGCCGCAGGGACCTCTGGAACAACCACCCGCAGAGCAGATCGCCTTCCTCAGGCCCCTGTGTTACTGCGCAGGTGCAGATTTGCGCCTGGAACTTGGAATCCATTACAACGGCAGGAGGCGTTGCCAGGCTCCGCGGACGCCCTGGCCTTGCGGACCCGCGGCGAGAGCCCCGAGGCCGCCGGAACCCGAGCGGGCAGGAAGGCGGTGGGGCAAGAGAACGGGATCGAGCCTTCAGCACCCGCGCTGGGCAGGTTTGGAGCCCAGAGCAAGGTCCTCCTCCACCAGCCGCCCGGGTTAGGCGTCCGGGACAGCATAGGCTGTCCGGCGAGGTTTCAGGTCTCAGTGGGTTTTGGAACGCTTCAGTATCTCAGCTGGCAAAATGAGGGGTCACTAAGTTTGTTACTGACTCAAAGAAATTGCGGCTTCCTCTGTGAAAAACCTTAAAGTGTTTTCTCTAAAAGTCAATTCTCACAGAAACCTTGGGCTTGCCCGTACGTGTTGTATTCCACCTCCTCTCCCCGAGGCTGTGGACGCAGAAGCGGAAGAGGGTCCCGCGCGCCAGTGCAGACCCGCCTGGCCTCCGAGCGGGCACAGGAAGTGAGGGCGGAGCAGAGGTCCATGCCTGCGCCCCTCTCTCTGGCTCGCAGTTGCGCGGTCTGAATTGTGTCTCCCACCGCCTCAGGTCTCAGTTCCCCCGTGCCCGGGTGGTCGCTCGCACTCTAGACACAGAGCGTGCCTGGGAGGCCCCCGCGCTAGGTGAACACAGCAGCCCCCTGGCGAGCAGATCCCCCCACCGCGGGAGGTCTCGGGATGCACAAGTTGTAGGGGCTCCGGGGAAGAGCCCACGGGTCGGCCCTGCTTGGAAGACCCTCGGTGAAGGAGGAGACTCCACCTCTAGAAGGGTTGTTCCCAGAACTGCGAGCGCAGGACTTTCTCACAAGCTGGCTACTCCGCGGTGTGCGCTCATCAGCAACTAGAACATCGTCCCTCACCCTGCTCTGTTTATCCGTGTCCTGAATAGAGGATTCTAGAAGCACTGTCTACGTGCTCCCTTCGATAGCTCAGCTGGTAGAGCGGAGGACTGTAGTGCTCTTTCTGACGTAGACATCCTTAGGTCGCTGGTTCGATTCCGGCTCGAAGGAGGAGCTGCTGTTTTGGGGTTCGCCACCACCCACAGAGCCATTGCTCATCCGTTTCTTCCGCCGTTCTCTGTCTTCTGGGGTCCCTTTCTCTAAACCTTACACCTCTCCCAAAGAAAAACTCAGCTTCGTCGAGACTTTGAACTCATAAGCCGTCTTAAAGAAATCGGTTCTTAAAACAGTGAGGCGAGGAATGTGAACCAACCCTTCCAACAAGTTGGAGAGGCTCTGAATTATCTTACGTAAGGTGTTCTTTCTTTTGGCTTTTACTTGATCCTAGGTCGCTGCCTGGGGTCCAAAGTTCAGAGACCCAAGACCACTCGTTGGGCGTGTATATATATATATCTATATATATATATATGTTTACCCTGCAGCCTGCGTGGCTCTCATTTGCGGAACAAACCTCCTGTGACCTTCAGCCCGAGTGTCCGCCCTAACTCCATACACATTCATTCAGGTGGAGGCCCTTACGAGACAATTTTAATTATATTTAGCTAGTCATACATTTTCATAGTTCCACAAAAAAAGATTCTGAGCCGGAGCAGGAAAGAGGAATTGCATTTGACGTGAGTTGGGATGAGACTGGGAGAGCGAATTCAAGAGCAAGGAAACAGTTTAAGCAAAGGGTGGGAGATGGAGAACTTGATTCTCATTCCGGGAAACTGAGAGAGGTCTGGACTATCCGAACTCGCGCCAGACTGGTTCGCCTCCAACCGACTCCAGCTCCCGTATTTTGATGCCCACCAGTCCTGCCCCAAGGATTTTATGCTCGCGCGAGGTGGCAGCAGCCCGACGGGTACACGCCTCGCGCGTCTGTTCTGGGGCTCAGGACCTTCCAGCCGAGCTCCGCTCGAGCCCCCGGGCTCCAACTCAGTTCCCTCCAGGCTCTCTCTAGGCTCGAGCTCGAGGCTAGACCCGGCCTGGCGGGGCTGGGTGGAACTCAGTCACGTGGCCTGAAGTCTGAAAAGATGCCTCCCCTCACCCCACTTGGTATCTGGAGGGGTCCAGGACGTGGATCGGAAAGAATAAGCGAGTCAGACTTGAGACTTAATGAACACGGGAGGAAGAACTAAACAAGGCAAAAGGTAAATGTCACAAAAGGGAACAAAATTCCCGCCCGGCTTGGCGGCCAGTTGGTGACGGGAAACTGAAGTTCAGAAGAAACGTAGGCAGACCAGTTCCTCCGTGGCTCGTTGGTCTAGGGGTATGATTCTCGCTTTGGGTGCGAGAGGTCCCGGGTTCAAATCCCGGACGAGCCCGAAACCGAGGGTTGTTTTCTTTTTTTCCCCTGGGTTTTTATTTTTTCTCCTCCTTTGGGAACTACTACTAGAAAAAGTTTAGTTCTATACAAACTTTGTCGAGTTCCTAACTCTTCTGCAAGAGAGGTGCACTGAGTGAACATGGGGCTGACGACCTGTGCAGAATGAAACTGCCCGGCACCCTGCAGTCTGCCAGCGGACGCCTCGCAGGGGCTGCCTCACTCCTGGGAACAGGGGCCGGTGTCCCGTAGTCGGCTGTCCCCCGAGGCGGTGCCCTCGCAGCCGCTGCGCGTCGCGCTGGGATTTCCAGGCTCGCTCCCAGCCCAGGCAGGGACCCGCCCGCCGCGCCTTGGGCGGGGGCTGCTGTGGCGCCAGCTCCAGAGGCGGGTCCAGGCGGAGGGGGCCTCCTCGGGGAAAGCCGGCGCGGTCCCAACTACACAGAGGCTGGCACGCCCACCCTTCTCTTCTCGCTGCACCCCTCTCCCGTCCTTGTACACGCACACGCACGCTGACCCCACGCAGGATCCAAAGCAAGATTCAAAAGCACATCTTCGCGTTTTCTACCAGCTCCCCATCATCCTATAAGGGAGGAAGAAGCCGGTAAGAAACAATAACTTTCTTTCCACTGTCCTGCCCGGTTCTCCAGCCTTGTTCCGAGGCCGAGGTGGGTTCACACTCCTGCTCCTCCTCCTCCTCCCTGTCGGTGGCTTTATCAAGAGTGTTTTGGCTGGGGGAGTCCCTTCGTAGTACAGGCAGGGTGGGCTCCTCCGGGAGGCTTTTGTGGGACAAATCTGGAGGAGCTGAGGAATGGGAAGGAAGGTAAAAGTCCAATAATAGTACGAGTTAGCGATTCTACATCTCCATCCCGTGTTTACTTTCCGCACCTGAGCAGCGATGGCAGCGTGAATGCCCATTGCTTGGAACGTGGGCTTCACTGGGGACCACAGAATTGGCGAACCTAAGGGAGATCCGAGGAGGCCTGCGCTTGCTCAAAACTAAGGATTCTTTGCTTGGCACCCTGGTCCATCTCCAGATTTATGTAGCAGGCCTTGTCCAGTTTGTGCCAGCGTAACCAACATTTGGGGCCTGGTGCTTTCGTTTCCTGTTTACTCTCTTCTATCTGCTCGCCCTTCACCCACCCTCAGCCAGTGTTATGAAATTCTTGGAGACACTGTGCCAACAGCCTCTTCTCTAAGCTTTCTTACTGGAGCGTTGGGATCCTCAGCTTTCTTCCTTTGAGACAAGACGTCAAATGGTAACAACACAAAGGCAAAACAGAACATCTTTCTTTAGGAAGGACAGTAGAAACACTTTCAGCCCCATTCTGGGGACTACGGAAAATCTCAAATGAGCCAAGACCCTCCCTCTGTGTCGTTAAGAACCTTGCAATCGAGGCATAAATGTAATAACTAGAAACCCAAGTGACATAATTATCTGAGCAGCACATGGCCAACTTCCCAGAAGCAGCCTCAGGTATTCAAAGAGCTATTTAACTATACAGTTACTAGCTAGCTAGTTAGTGCAGAAGGATAATTTTGTTACAGACACTCTATTTCAAGCAACTCCTTTACAGATAAAAGGGAGAGTAAAATATTTTTGGAATGTATGGAAATATTCAATGTAGGTTTCCTTTAAACAGCAAGTTTCATTGGCACCTTTAAAATTAGCTTTGATTTTCTGGAAATTACTAGTATGGAATGCAAAAGCTATGTGGTGAGTTGGAAAGAGTCTGATCCCAGGAATGCTAGCTGTTCCTTGGGCAAGACATATTCTCTTTTTCTCTTTCTCTTTCTCTTTCTCTGTTGCTCATCTGTAAAATGAGGGGTTGACCGATGGTCCCTGAAGTCCATCTCATTCTATGACTGCGTGAGGTGTCAGGGTGTTAGCAATATGACTCTTATATAAAAGGTACTCCAGTAATGTGGAGAAGAACTATAGTTTGGCAGAGAGGATGGAAAAAACCATTCCAGAAAAGAGGAATGTCTCTGGCTATTGTTGGAAGAGCAGATGTCAGGTTATAAGCAGGCAAAGGTAAGAGATTTGTCGTTATTGTTGGAAACATTTGCCAGTGTGATTCATAAATTAAAATACGTGGATAAGAAAGTGGATCAAAGCAGGCCAGTGAAACCCCTCTTTAGGAGTTTTAATTTCATCTGTATTTGAGCAAAGAGCAATCTCTGTAAATAGTTATTCTCAGAAGAACACCTTGAAATACCTAGGAAAGCGAGAATGGGCACAAAGCCCAGAATCTGTTGAAAGGTGAATGTTTAATTTTCATCTTTGTTTGGCAATATAGGCATGTCAGCAGGACTTTGCCCCATTCTCCCTGAATCAGTAGTGTCCCCACCCCGGAGGTGGAGGCATTATCCTTCTTTTCACGTGAGCTTCATACTCTTTTAACCATTACTTCTGATACTAAATAAGTTTCATGTTTATAGACCTAAAAAGTGTTAGGTTATAAAGGAATTTAGAGATTAGTCACTTCCCTCCATCACCTAATTTTATAATTAGTCTTAAGGACAGAATTAAACATATGCCCTCAGTATAAAAGGGAAAAGTACACCAGCAGGAGAGCCCTAGAACTCATGCTTTCTATGTCTGTGTGCAGGGAGACTATTGGCTTGAAGAAGAGAGAAAAACATTTCAGGACAAGGGGAATGACCTTCACGTTCAGGCTATCAGAACATTTTTTGTAAACATATGAGTACTTTTTTTCAATTGGTAATTGCTTCACATGTACTAAAATTACCCACAAAGATACGATGTTCGTTAATCATAGACTATAAATCCTTGTTGTATTTTGAAACACAAATGAGTAAGCGCTTAGATGCATTTTAATGAACGAGTAAAACTTTCTTTCCCCCAACCTTATTTTCTGTTTCATCATGACCTCGTTGTGCCAAACTGAAAAGGAAAACAATTAGAACCAAAGCAACCATTCACCGTTCACCTACCTGACTTTTTGCATTGTTAACTGTGTGGGCCAGTTGTAAAATCTCCAAAGGTGGTCAGGTGAGATCCCAGAGGCAGAGAAGGGACCTGGCTATGTCCAGAGACTGGAGGCTGCTCCTCAGCACCACTGCGTAACTCCCAAATCAGAGGCTGATCTGTTTGTGTGGGTTGGTGCTTGAACTGTGTTTCAGGCCGTGGGACTCTGCGTGTGTGTGTATGTGATGTTGGAGTGGAGTACCTTATCTCTGCTTTTAGGCAGTTTATCAGAGAAGGGTCATGGTGATCAAGTCATCTTGATCCCCATAAACTGTGGGAGTTGAATGCTGCTTCCGTCATCCAGGACTGCTGAGGCAAAAGGAGTGTTGCAGTGGGCCTGGCAGCTGTTCTCCCTACCAAAGGACTGGTTGGTAACTTTTTAGAACTCACTTTTTAAGTGTCTGTTTAAAAAGTGATGTGTGATTAATTTAAAATAGCGTGTTTGCCCACAAAAGGAAAGTGAGCATTTGGGCATCCCTTAGATCCCAGTAGAGGCCCTACTCTATGGGCCCCATGTCCCCTTAATTCTCTTTGCAACTAAAGGACTTTGAACTTTGGTGTTTGGCAGAACAAATATGCTGGTCAGAGGCATACCTATCCCTGCCTTTCCAGAGACTTCAGTAACCCTGAGGTACCAGGTGCTGAGGGAAAGGCTGTTTGTGGCAGTTTACTTGTTCCTTTTCTCACTACCCGTGACACTTTTTTCCTTGTAGCTCAGGATTTAGTTAGAGATGCAGGAAAAGGGGAACAGGATGTGGGGAAAAAAGTGAAGCTCGGGCAGGACTGTGCCCCAACACAGCTGAAAAGCATGTGAAGTGTGTCCTTTTGCAGGTTCTCCATGCTGCCCACTTTTCTTCCTCCTTAAACCCTCAGGCCCTTCCAGTTACCAAAAACTGTTCTTAAAATAAGCTCTAAAATACATGCCCACGGATGTATAGCTCATTGACAGCTGCTTAAAGACTTAACCCTCCTAGGGATTTTTTGCGTTGGAATGGGGACCAGTTTCTACAAAATAAAGGTACATCAGTGGGCTTTCAGAATTTGTCGGTAAGCTAGAAGCAGAGCTTTCCTGGGAACCTTAGAAGCCTTCCTGCTCCTACCTGGGAATCAGGCCTGCCTTGTTTGGTAACTGTTACCCAACCCACTTGCGTTTGTAAGCCTTAGGAGAAGTGTCAACCTACAAAAACAGAAACCAGTTTAAGAGGCAAAGTATTTATTTGGGATCAAAGAATTGCAATTCGGGGAGCACAGAGTCAGACAGAAACCCAAATAATGTCCCAATTACAGCAGAGGGGCTTAGGGTTTTCATAAGAAAAAGGGAGGATGGGATGAGTTGTATTTAGGAAGAGTTCATTGATGCTAGATGAGGGAAGGCTAGGTTTGTGTTTCATAGATTGGCTTGAGAGGAAGCCATCAGGCAAAAGGCTAGACTTGTAATTCATTGATTGGTTAGCAATTTGATCATCAGCAAAGTCCAGTTCCATCAGTTCTTACAGAAAGGATATTCCTGTCCTTACTGACTTCTTGGCATGTTGGCAGTTTGGTCGTTTGGAAGATGAAATAAGACATGCAAGGCAGTTCCTTTGAAATGGCTGTTCTGGCTCCATTTTCTACTCAGTCATCTTTCACAGAAGCGAGGAGAGTTTGCATGGTTGGGATCTCCAGAGTAAGATCAGATGGTGCATTCCCAGGAGCAATGAGGGATAACAAAAAGAACTTGGGTGGGGCCGGCCCCCTGGCATAGTGGTTAAGTCTGGCGTGCTCCACTTCAGCAGCCCGGGTTCATTGGTTCAGATCTGGGCATGGACTTACACCACTCATCAAGCCCTACTGTGGCAGTGACCCACACACAAAATAAAGGAAGGTTGACATAGATTTTCCCTCAGGGCTAGTCTTCCTCACAAAAAAAAAATAGTAATAACTTGGAGCCTAGGAGTCAGCCACTGTTTCAGATACTAAGAATGTAGAGATGAATAAGATAATTCTTTTCTCAAAGGGTTCCATCTAATGGAGAGATGATGAGATCAATTAACCATCAAAGGAGTGATGGTTAACAGCCCGTTTCCCCGGTTATAGTAACCTGAAGTAAAACCACATCCATCCCACTCATGTTATAAGAACTCCAGATCAGCTCACATTCTTCTCAGAGCATTCCTGAAGTTCCCACATTCTTGCTAACTCACCTTTTCAACCTACAGGATGAGGCTGCAATTTACTTCTTTCTTGGTACAGCTCCCTGGGTGAGATCTATGACAGAATGTCTGAAGTTACCCACATGCAGTGTCCTCTTCCTTTTTGGCAGAGCAAATGGTTGATTTGATGCTCTAGCTCCTGTTCAGACTTGCCTCAAATTTGTCCCAACAGGATCCTCAAGTGGGGGAAGGCACTTCGTCTCCTGTCCCACCTCCTGTGCCACCCCTGTCAACCATGTAGTGAACTTCTTTACACCAGCTTGCTGTGTACTTTTTGAATCTTAGAGATATTTCACAAAACAACCTTTATTTTTCTTCAAGTTTTTATTGCGGTGGCCTCTCCCTAGGCCCTAGGAAGCTGGGTCAGAAGGGGATGTGAATGACGCACATTGTACTCCTTGACCGACATTGCTCCACAGC